AGGGAAAGATGGGAAAAATAGAATCTGTCATGTTACAGCTTTTTTTAATCTTTCAGAGAGGCCATGACTTCTATGAAGGGGTTCGAGCAGGTAAGCACGCACACCAGAAACGTTTCTCAAACTTAGTAATATGCAAACTCACTGTTGTATGGCTTCTCTGGAGGTTAAGACAAGTGCATGCAGCAATAGCCCAGAGAAGACTTCCCAGCTTGCTACAGTTTTTGCCTGTTGGACTCTAGTATGGCCAAAATTTCTTACTGTTCCAAAGTGGAACAGCCATGTTGTTCCCTTTGTGTAATCTCAGTTTCCTAATGTCACTTATCCACCCGGTAATGCAGCACCATGAAAAGGTTTCACCAGTTCATTGGGAAAGTTTAAAATATATTTAATGCTGACAGTAGTGAGCAGCTATGTGTATCCAGATTTAGTGTTACCACATAGCTGGGTCAGTCAGCTAGAAGATGGTTTAAGACTCAAAGTCAAAACCAACTATTTGCATAGAAAATTGTTATAACAGAGACTACTTTCACCCATGCCCAAAATATCTCTGTATAGAGGTGTCTTACTCTTAGAAAACTATATATGTAAATTTAATGTTAAATAGTTCAGCATTTTAAGGCATTGGTCAAAATAGGTAGTAGTAAAAACAGAGCAGCAGCTCATCAAGTTCATCTAGGGTGCAGACTTAGATTCTGTCCTTGATTGTACTGCTGATTCACTGTGCAGTTTGTCAAACCCAATGTCACATCTGTTAGAAGCTGTAGTAATTATTTATGTACTATTCAGCACAAGATGAACAAAGCAGAGACATTTCCTTTTACAAGGAGCTTACAGTAGAAGACACCTGTATGAATAACACTTTGGGGTTGAGGGAACCTGGCTTTTAATTCACACAGTTGTATACTCAAGTATGTATTACCACCTCCTCCTCCTCCTCGTTTTTTATAGCTGTCTTTATAAAAAGTAGGTTAAAATCCACTTGAGTAGTGGATATTAGTTTGAGTGTTCACTATTAGTAATACTGTTTTGAAGATAGCCTAGAGTGAGATGCAAAGTTTGTACAGCATGGAGAAAGTTTCTGATATTAATTAATCTTTAGCACTTATTAGCAGAGACTCCTTTGAAGAGTTTACCATGCATGCTGAGAAGTATGGGCTTTTCATTGTGTTGGTAATGGGGACAAAGCTATCTTAAAAAAGATTATTCCTGGGATATATTCTAAATCACCATATAAGCTGCTGAAATGTAGTTATTCAGGAAGCGACAAACTCCATGAGAGTCAGATAAACACCAAACCAAATTCTTACTTGTAACGCACAAGGTCATTAAACCATCAGGGCATGTGATAGAGGACATAAGCAAATAACTCGTCAGTACTGCCAGTAAATTACACAAACTGCTTGTAAAGAAAGAAGCCGCAACAACAGCAGTTGGGAAGTCTCTCTTTTACTTAGGATGATGTAGCGAAGGCTTAACTATATCAGGGGAATTAAAAAAAAAACCCACCAAAACCAAACACAAAACACCAGAGATCCAGCCGCACTGAGGAGATTGCTAAGAAAAATAATTTGGTTTTGAAGTAGTTTTGCTCTCTGCTTACTGCATATATCTTGTTCTCAGATGTCATCTTAAAATTGTTTCTCTTGTTTAACAACAGTGCAGAGTCTCACTCAAGATCACTTTTGTTGTTGTGTCTAATCTCATAAAAATCATCATCCAACAATGTGCTGAGCATCCTTTTTAATAGGAAACAAGATTATTAAGTATTTCACAGGATCAACCATAGTGAATAAAAAGGAAAATGATAAAAGTGTTAATTTAAGAATTAGCTTTTACATACCAAGCATTTAAGAGCCAGCTGTTGACCCTCTCTACCACAAAGTTAAAATATAATAATCAGATTTTGGTTTTTGAAGATTGTTTTACAGCAGCAATGGCCATAGATCAGGTATTAATAACAGCTTTTATCTGCTTCAAACCACGATTTTAATAGGCATGCTAAGGAAGTAGTTTGTTTAAAAGCTTTTTAAACCTCCTTCGACCAGAGGTCAAAATTTCATTTTTCTTTTAGCCAGTTTTCTTTCAACTACCCAGACTGAAAATCTGCTGGCAAACAGTCTTCCCCATTTATGATTCTTGCAATTTGAGGTCTAAAGAAAAATCAAAACCCTAAAGCATGAAATGCACAGATCATATGTCATCAACATTTTCCCATATAATGGTAAAAGTAGTCTTTGAACATTTTAGGTATCCATTTTTCACCTTGATTTATAGAATAATACATAAACTAAGAAATGCATAGCTCTGGGTAATTTCCAAAAATTTTGTTTTTCTAATTCTTACTGCATAAGAAAAGTCATTTTTGGTCAGCGCTCAGACACATCAGGTAGACTACAATCTCACCGGCCTGATGGACAAAAATCTGTTAAATTAGCCTCCTAACTATTTGTGCAGGAATGTACACTTCAAATGGAATTGTAAAGGCCTTCTACGTACTGCTGATCCTGCAAAGATCTCATTTCCGTACGCCTTCTGCCCTCCCCCCCGCAGTGCTGGCAGATGTGAGCCTTCCCCGGGCACACAAACCCTCTGCAGTCAGCGAGTAGGGAGATGGATTTCATTGCAACTAACAGCACTTCACAGACTTAGAAATATCAGCATTTTGACTGAATGAAGCTAAGCAATAGGACACTAACTGAGGTCCAGTAAAGTCACTGCTACTGAACAGAGGGGGTTTGGATTTTTTTTTAAAGGCAAAAAACCAAGAGCAAACCCTTACCACAATGTCTACGTTCAGTTACTTTTATCTTAATGAACTTCCCTCGGCCTACCTTAGAAGTCTTCAGAATTTTTGTTCTTCTAGTGATTGATTTCTCAAGCTGGAGAAACACAAAATGTACCGAAGTTAACACAGAAAGGGAATATTTTCACAATACTATTAGAAAAAAAAATATTTTAACTCATACAAGATTAAAGATTTCATTGGAGAGACCATTATGATCATTCAGTTTATCCACCAGAGTAAAACTGGCCACAGATCCACACAGAAGGATTAACTTGATTACACAGCAGTGCCGTAGAGTGGAGAACGATCAGCAGTTACTACTGTATTTCAGAGTTGAAGCTGTAGTAGTATACACATGGATTTCCACCCCCCCACCACCCCCCTCTAATTTACAGCATCTTTAGTCAGTGTTGTCTTCTGTGGGTAACAGTTGAGGTTATTTTGGCCAGATTGTGAACTTCAACTACAGCTGAAGAAAATCATTAGATAAGTACTACTCTGATAGAATAAATGTAGTTGATTTAAGACAATTACATATTTTGACCCAAACCAATCAATGATTGCACATCACAGTATTTAAAATTAACTTGTAGGATCATAACTTTTCAGTAAGTTAGCCAGTTGAATGACCTAGTAAAATCACTCTTTTATGGCACATTTATTTTAATTAATTATCTACACAAATTCTACTCTGTGTGGAATTGCAGCCTCTACCTATATAATGGGTTTCTTTTCAAAATTAGTGTTTATTTGTATCCATGAAGTCCTCAGTCCCGTACTTGCAGGTAAATGGATGCAGGGCTCTTTTGAAAGGTATTTATTTTCTAGATGTTGCTTATAGAGAAAAAAGTTAAAAAGCAGTTTTCAAGTCACATTTTTAACCGCAAACTGCCATAATGCCTGTCTTTTGATAAGACACAATCTTTAGGAGGGCGTTCCTTCCACTGAACTTAAAATTCCAACTCCTTTACACATTTTTCATCCTGGATGGTTTTACTTTAATCATCAAGAATGAAGTCTGTTTAGAAAAAACATGACAACTTACCAAAAAATTAGCTGCTATTCTTCAAGATATCTGGCCTCTGTGGACCTCTTTTGTCCACACATCTTCTGGACCGTCCTACTCTGATAGCCTTATCAACACGAACAGGCAAACAAATTCCATTCTCAGCAGAGGAAGCTGAAAGGTGCTTCCTTCCTGCCCACCCACCCTCAGCTGCCACGGGCTGTGTTGGTCAGGAGGCCTCCCGGGACACAGGTGCGTCCCCAAATCAGGCACCAATACCACACATCTGAGGGAATGGGTGTTGAGGAGGGATGTTTACGGGTAGTCAGTGCATCCTAGAGAGTCACGGTTACCATAGCTGTTCTTTTTGAAATTATAAAAATTTCACATTTTGAATAGCACCTTGACAGGTTGTCTTGGGGCCAGAAAAGTGCTCAGAAGGACACTCTGGAATTCCATTCATATTGGTCATTTTTACACACAAATAAACTCTCTCTTGTCTTATTATTGTTTGCTAGTGCAGCTGTTCTTGCTGACATGCCTTCAACATTCCTGTGATACGAGGAATGCTTTTTGAGAATTGGTGTTTTCTTCTTATACTTTTACACGTGATTCAGGCACTGATCATTTTTATCGTCAGAGATGTGTATTTCCCAGGATACAGCGTAAGATGTGCATAATAGGATTATACAAATCTTCACAGTTAAATCTGCATAAGTCTGCAGTATTTGTCAGTATTTACAAGTAAATATTCTTGATTTTCCCTCAAAGATATTCTGCTTTACTCATCAGTTCTTTCATTATTAGTTTACCTGATGTGCTTAAATTATCTCTAGGCATTTAACACCTACTTTGAGTCATCTTCTGTACTCTCCGAAGAATCAGATTTTGCAGAGAGATGTGAAAGCCCTTGTCCAAAAGGAGCATCATGCGTACTGTTCCCAGTTTCACAGGAAAAACAGAAGTGAGGCGAGAGTAGTAGGTCTAACAGAAAGCACTAACTTCAGGTCTGTTCCTTCAAAGCTTGGGCTGCTTCTGAAGTGATCCCCTGTTCCTTGTATCATCAGGCAGCTCCCAGATACGTCTCTAGACAGGTCACAACTCCAGAATTTTTATTAGAGTAGAAATACGTATGTTACAAAACCTCTGTTTTCTCCAGAGCATATTGATTTTTCTCCCCCATGTATTCACTGTAGTTGTCTATCTTGATGCAATTTGAAGTCATCTTAATTAGAGAAAGTTTACACATAACTTTTGTGCTTTTGTGCTCCCCCTGACAGTGCTGATTGACAAAGACCAATCCCCCAAATGGAAGCCAGCTGCTCTAGAAGAAGTCAGTGATGAATTTGTGGACGATTGTTTTAAGCCATTGGGAAACAACGATCTCAAGTTGTAAAGATCAAGCCTATTGACATCTTATACATCTGCTTAATTATAATTTTATCTACTTGATATGAAGATTCATAGTAGTGTGATAAAGTTTGACAGGACTCTTAGCTAGCCTGACAAATTCTTAAGTCTAATTTTTTGCATTCAGGAACATTCTCTTTTGTTATACTGCCATAATGACAAAATAATCGTCTCTCTGGTTAATAAGGGGAAAAATTATTTCAAGGCAAGTTGTTATTTTTACTGCTTTACGCAATGATTAACATTTAAGTTTTTGCATCTACTCTTAGTTTAGGAGGAACCTTTTGGGGAGACAGCATAGTTAGGGGATGACCTAATAATAAATCAAGAGATCTTTGTGTTCTTGGCTCTGTCACTGATCTGTTTAACTGGGATTGTGCCTCAGATTCTTTTCTGTAGAATGAAAATAAAATATACTTAAAGCTTTACAACAGTCAGAGCTACAAAGGAAAATGCAAGACATGCTAAATCCATGGTGTTAAGTACTCTTTTAAATAAAAGGTCAGACTGACATGTTATTAGTCTGAGAGCAAGAAATTGTGCTATTGATTTAACATTTGGTCAGTATTCAGTCTTGCTGTGTGATGTAGACATTGTTTCATATGTCATAATATTGCCAGAGCCTAGAGCACACTTGTGTTCGCTTGTAAAACAATTTTTTTTTTAAAATGTCATTGCGTTTGATTGAACTGCATAATTAGTGTTTCATGATTTCAAAAATTGCTAGTTTTTGCTGGTCTTAGAGTGGGGAAGAAATAACTGCCTCAGCCCCTCCTCTGAACACGGAGCAGCACGTGTCCTGTTGATGTTAGTGATTGTCTAATGCTTTCAGTGGTAGAGGTCAGCCTGGCCCTAATACGGCAAGCGGCAGGAGTTTATCTGTACCAGCTACTCTGGGTTCCTGTTTGCTCTTGCCCACGAACATCCTGTCTACAGGGTGGAAAATTTGTGAAAAGTAGGGAGGACACAAGGTAACCAACAGGGGAGAACATGAAGTATCTGCTGCTACGTGGATCGTATTGTTTTTTTAACACAGCATATCCTAACAAATGTATTTGTTGGGATCAAAACTTAAATATACATCAAAACCCCCTTGTTGTATGTGCATGAAAGATTGCTGGGTTCTGATACTAATCATTCTTGAAATAATGTGACATAACCAGAGCCCCTTGATAAAAGTATATTTTTGGGGGGTAAAATTATTTTTTCTATTGTGTATGCAACGCAGAGCTACTAATCTTTGTTCAACATTAAGAATGCATGCTTTTTTATAGGTAATCAAATCATGTATCAGTATCTCTTCCTACTTGATTCTACAGCTATAGGCGAGTCACAAATACACAATTTTGGCTTCTCTGAAGATGAACCACTGAGACCAAAGGAAGAAAACTTTTGTTCAAATAGTGTAGTCAGTCATCAGCACTGGGGAATGAAAAAGGCAGAGCTACAACAGAACTGTTACAGAGTTGTCAACATTTGGCAGTTTTTATTACCAACAGTAATGGTCTACACTGGCTTAAGGCTCCTTCCCCCTTAGAAGCTGTTGCCTGGAAACAAACTCCAGGAAATTCAGGCAGCAAGGTGAAGTGCTAGATGGACTTTCAAAGAATTAGAGGTGAGCAAAATCAAGAACAAATGGCACCTTGCTTTGTCACTAGAATCTTTAAAATTGTTAAAATTTCAGCTGCCAGTTAATGTTACCATGTACATATTTGTTGTGAGACAGTCCCTGAGTTTATTTTGAAAAGTAGTAGAGAGATTTCATTAGTATCTTTAGGGTAACTTCTGAAAATATGACTTGAATTTCTACCTCATGATGGTTCTGTAAGAAACGTAAATCTCCCCCCTTATTTTTTAAACTTTTATATGTTTTAGATTCTTAAACAATGGCTATGTTTAATTTATTTTTTAAAAAATTGTTCATTCCATTATTTTTGTACAAAAGGAGCAATCTTCAGCAACTATATTTAATGAAAACCTAGTAATCCCCAGGAAGTAGGGGTCATGCCTCCTCTGACTGCAAAGGACTTACAGTGTTTTAGCAAGAGTATACTTCTGAATCAATAAACTTTGACTTGCATGTTCAGTTGCTTCCAAAATTTATGTGAACAGGAATTACCCCAAGCTCATGGTAACAAGACCCTGTCCAATCTGTGCATTTTTATCAAACAGAAGTCTTACAAGCAGGTAGTAAGTTGAATTTTATTTGGTCCACAAGAAAATATTTTCCACAAAAAATACTGTAAAAATATACCATAGTGTGTTTTATTTGGGAATACTGATCTGTCTTACTACAGAAATGTCAATTTTACAAAATTGTGCTGCAGTTAATGTGTTTTGAACTGTTATTGGAACATGAAGTCAGTCCCATAGTACCCACTCAGACTATACTTGTTTCCTGGAGAAAATATAAAGCAAATGTATTTTTAACTCCTAAACAGAAGTAAATGGTTTTGCAGAGTATGCCAGTCCCATACTGGAGTGCTTTCATTACACAAAATCAAGTCAAAGAATCATGGCAACTTAGCTGGAAAGCCACTCTAAGACTACAGCCTAGAGTAATCTAACGATAAGTAAACAGATGTAATTTTATTTAGGTAAAGCAGCCTTTGTTTTTATGATGATGATATATTAGTATTGTGCCTACTAAAAATACAGCAGAATTTTGGAAAGAGATCTCCTTCGATCTCTCACCAGATTGTAGTGTTGACCAGATTTTAATTTTTTCTTATTAAGGGTAAGCGCACTATTTAGTAAGGACAGTGTTTTGTAAAAGAGATCATTTTCCTGGTGAGAAGCTGTTTCCCTGTTGTTTGTAAGCTTGTTTGCTTTCCATTTGCTGCGTGCTTTCCCTGAAGCACCAATGTGATAGAAAGCATCGTAAACCAGCTGGAATTGCACTTCAGGCCATACCGAAGCTGCTGCAATCTTCAAGCATTAGCGAGGAAGACGAGCTTTGTGGTTGCAGGTGAGTGGTTGGACAACGCAAGCAGCAGGCGATTCAGTCACTGTCGCGTTACGGGTGGCTCCCCGGGCAAGCAGTGCGGCAAGTACTCCAAAAGGAAGCTTGCTGCGATGCGTGTTTAATTATACCTCAGTAACTTTCTCCTTTGGCGAAATTTTGAATGTTTATCAGTGCAGATGCTGTGACTTAACTTTAGGCTATTTTACCTCCTGATTGTGCCTGGTGTTGGACTGGGCAGTGGCAGCCTGCCAGCGCAGAACCTGCCTTCAAAAGCAGAGCTGGTATTCTGACTCCAGCAGTGCCGGATGCTAAGGCTGCATCCAGAGGGAGGATCTGAGCCACTGCAACAGCAGGCACTGCAGCACCTGACTCCCCGTGCAGCCACCGAGGGTAGGCAGATACACCCGAGTGCTCTCTTACAGCCACCGCGGTTTTGTGCCACCTCTTCACCTATACTGCCTGTACTCGCCTATCTGGCCAATAACGTCTACAGAGTTTGGGCCTTTTATTTTTTTTTAATTGCCATCTTTGGCACTGTTAACATTCCTGAAAGAATGGTTGGCTTTTTTTTTTTTTTTTTAAATAAAACTTTGTTTTAGCTATATAAGAGTAGGAATATTTTTTAATACTGTGATTAAGCAATATCCAAATAATATGTACTGATCTGATCAGTGTTTTGGGTTTGCTTTTTAACTCACCCTAGTATATGGCATGGAGGTTTTTAAACAGCAAATATAGGGTACGATCTAATGTTTTACATACTTCAGAGCTTCAAGGAACATCACTGTTAGCAGTAGAATTTAAATGGGCCATAATACCTTCGTTCCACTTTACATACGGCTTCAAAGATGACCGCGTTACTTCAAAGATGACGACATTACAACATAAGCAGATTTTGTTCCCTTTTTCAGCAAAAGCCCGAGAACAGTCTTAAGTAGCCGGGTCTAGTCTGGTCAGCATGAATTAATGGCAGTCTTGTAGTGTTTTACAAAAAAGCATTTTTCACATTTACTCTTGACACCACCACTTCCCCACATAAGTGAATTTCAAATAGCTAAGTCCTGTCACAAAGTTTGCAAAACGGCTCAATTCACAGACTGGCTTACGTCTGAGAATAAGCTGAAAATAACTACTGACAGGGTCCTCTTTCTGCGTGCCTACCATTGCTTGAAAAATCATGCTTTCTGTCGTTTACTAGAACTATGTGTATCTTTTAAAAATAGTAACAGTTTTTGCCAGTATGGAAAGCATTTTTCTATAAAATGAAAACATAAAATGGAAAGCACTTTGATACAGACATACTTTTAAACTGGCCATTACAGAATAAGGAACTAATAAGGTGCTAAAATCCCAAGCTTCTACAAGGCATTCACTTTGTATAAAATGTCAGCAAAACTGCAGCTTTAAGATGACTATGAATAATTCATCCCTTTCTTGCTATCTCAAGCGCTAGTTACGAGTACAGCAGGTCAGGCTGCAGGTCCTGGAGAGGCAGGGTGCAGCGTGCGCCTGCAACCTAGATGAAATCGGTGAAGAACGTAGCCCTTTAGCTTCGCGCCTAAGGCTCACTCACTGATTCAGCGCACGGCTCAAGCTTTAGGTTTCTGTAGCTCGTGTTTGCATCGCCGTACACGATTTTACCAGCGGTTAGGCGATGAGCCTCCAGAAGCTGAAGGAAGGCATACTGTCCCAAGGGCGTTAGAGTGAAATTTTAGTGGAACGCAGCCATAGTTCCCGTGAAACAAATAGTCCTAAAACATTGTTGCACCTTTGAAGGTTCATTTCTCTGGTTAGCATCAGTAGTTTTTGCACACCTACCTGGGTTACAGTAAAGAACCAAAACAAACCCCCCAAAACCAGCACCCTAACACAACAAAAATCCCCAAAACTGAACAAAAAACCTAACAGCTTTGGTCTGAACACAGTGATGAGATGTAATTAAACTATCTTACCGCAGGATTTTAGAAAGTAGCCTTCATGCATTTACAGAAGCCAGAGCATCTGTTAATTATAATGCACTC